TTAAGAGTCTTGTAAAGTTGTTTACTACATAGAATCATTTAATAATTGCTCATGCATTGAACATTGCATGAAGTCACATCATTGGCAAGAATTCTATTTGGAACTGCTTATGTAGTTAGCATTTCAGTATCATATTTTCTAATCATAGTATATCGTATCCTGCTTCACATTGGGTAGGTGGGAGAAACCAGGGCACAGTCCACTATTTGGGTATGACTTTTGGTACCAGCCACGCCACAATACTATGATTAGCACATCATGGGGTGCTCCTAGTGCTTTTACGAAGGGTTTTAACTTACAGCATGTCTCTGATGGATTATACGGAAGGCATCTCCATGTATATAGCTGGCCTGGGGGCGAACTGAGACAAACACTGGACCTTGGTGATTCAGGACTGTTACCCTTAGAGGCAAGTTATTAGCATAATCTAGGGAGATGTTTAACATGCATTTATTTTATCCTTTTAACTGTGTGTATTTGAAGCCTGTTTACTACCTGTGTGATTTAACTATGACAGTACTTTCCCCATTTCCTCTTGCTTGTAATTTGAACCCATATGCAAAAGTTGTCATATTTTATAACCAAGGTACCCTAAATGCAGATAAGGTTCTTACATGATCCTGCTAAAGATACAGGCTTTGTTGGGAGTGCATTGACAAGTAACATGATACGGTTTTTTAAGACCCAAGATGGATCATGGGGCCATGAGGTATATCAAAAAGGATATTTAATATATATTTTCTTATGGTCAGTATATGTGCTTCAACCAAGGGTATATATAACAATAATACTTATAGACTGAGCTTACTTTGCAGGTTTCCATATCAGTGAAACCACTGAAAGTGCAAAACTGGATTCTTCCTGAAATGCCTGGGCTTATAACTGATTTTCTGATTTCTCTGGATGATCGGTTTTTGTACTTTGTAAACTGGCTTCACGGGGATATAAGACAGTATAACATTGAGGACCTTAAAAATCCTAAACTGACTGGACAAGTATGGGTTGGTGGACTTCTCCAGAAAGGAAGTCCTATAGTAGCTATAACAGATGATGGTGAAACATGGCAACCAGAAGTGCCAGAGATTCAGGTTATTGCAATCTGAATGCCCTATAGTAACTTATTGCATAATACATGTTAGGAGTTGAAAATGGAGAGGAGTGAAATATTACTATTAGTAATAATACTTAGTAGTCATTGCTTTTAAAGATTGCAATTGCACTTAATATGGGTAAATCAATAATTTCTTAGCAAAGCATGTGAGTGAATTAATTGATTCTTGTAAATATTTTGATTGATTCCGTAGGACTGCACTCGCATTCTTGTTTTGATTGTTCATGTAAATTTTACTCGGTATGTATGCAGAGATAGTTCAATAGTCACTTCATGTTCACCTTGTCTATATAAAGTTCGCATGAATGTAGCATGTTTGTTTACAATGTTATTTATTCAAATATAGTTTCACCAAATTATTCACTCAGGTGGTGAAACGAGATCTCGTAAGTCAAAATTCACTAGCATGTAATCTTCCTTTGTATTATGGTGGTACCGTTTTATCTCTAAAAGCAAATGTACAAGTTTCACATTTTAACCTTCTGGGATCAAAATAAATTTCCTGCAAATGAACAAAGTCAAAAGAACAAGCAGATAGACCTGTTTGTGTTGTCACTGTTGAGAAATTGTCTTCTTGTATTAGTCACAATGTCCTAGTGAGGCAATGGCATGTTGCCATTTATGCATTCAAACCCTTTTTTTAGAACACCAATATTACATCTGATGCATGGATTTATTCTTACGCAATGGTTGATGTTAACAGTAACACATTCCTTTTCAGGGGAAAAAGTTGAGAGGGGGACCTCAGATGATTCAATTGAGTTTAGATGGGAAGAGGCTGTATGCTACCAACTCATTATTTAGCACATGGGACAAGCAATTTTATCCTGATCTTGTCCAGAAAGGCTCCCACATACTACAGATTGATGTTGATACTGAGAAGGGTGGCCTGAAAATCAACCCCAACTTCTTTGTGGACTTTGGAGCTGAGCCAGATGGTCCTTCTCTTGCCCATGAGATGAGATATCCTGGTGGTGACTGTACTTCAGATATATGGGTTTAAGAAGACGTGTCATTATCACCCTTTAATAAAGGTATCTATCATGTGGTTTTAAACTTGTAATAAGATATGTTATAATGCTCTTGTGGATCTTCAACATTTTGAAGACAGTTTGCAATTGCATAAATATATTAAGCTCGTTTCCATAACCTCTTTGTCTGTAGTTATTTCTACCTTTGTGGTTACCCCCAACTTAATAATACATGTGTGAACAAATTGGTCCATGCTCGTTTAATCCAAATAAAAACGAATTAGAGAAGAGGAAAATACCAACAAAAAAAAAAACGATACTGAGGTGTGTAGAATGATTAGCAGTCACAGCGATAAAATGTGTTTTTACCTGCTCAGGCTGTTATAATTGAATCTATGATTAGAACTTCAGTTTCTACATTTATGGCCAGGCTTGGATTTCAAAGAGATCAACTAGTTCTAAGGATAAGATAATACAGAGCAAAATAGCAAGTTAGTATATGATAAGTTTGTTGAATAACTTGTATGCGATTACGAACCAAGCATACCCCGATTTCTACAGTATCATATCATATCCAATTATAATTTTGAGACAATTTAAAAGTAATATACGCATCATGTTCTTTTTCTTCTCTTTGCGCCAGCTAGATGAAATTTACATGTATTGCATAACATAAATTTAAACAATTTACAAGTATTTGATGATCCTTGAACATGTATTAATTGCTGTTAACTATTGTGCATTATTTATTGTTGTGTTAGAATTTTGTTTTCTTCAAAACTACTTGCATGTTTGGAATGCCGTTTGAACTAACGCAAATGGAAATTTTTTCATTCCAAAGCAGAGAAGCAGCATTTGCTACTTTCACGTCAGATGGTCGTTTGATGATTTTTCACAATGAACCAAACACAGTGTGTTTATACTCGTACTCTTTGTATGCTTAAAAAAATGAAGAGGAAGAAAGTGCTTTGGAAACACAAAAAGACAAAAATAAAAACCTTATCTCGGGATAAATTACTGTTACATGATTAATTTTTACCTTATTTCGTAACTATAATTTTTAGTATATGAAAAATAATAATAATGTGTCACATAGAGATTTGAGATTATACAACTCTAGATCATGTAATAATTTATCTTATCTCACTGAGTGTGACGTGAAAAACAGAAAAAGCACACTAATAAAAAAAAAGTATTTGAAGCAGTTTTGGCGAATATTCATCGAGTGCTAGTGTGTAATAAGTTGATTTGATATTGGCATGAATGGGACTAAAGTTTTGTCCTCATTTCATTATTACTCATGAAATCGAAAGAACTCGGCAATTATACTCCGTTGACCGACAAAGATCAGTGGAAAATGTGCGTCGTGCGTAGTATATAATTGAGCGATGATATGTCAATATTTTTATATATTAAACATTTCATTAATCTTTACTTTTTCCTTTTCTTTTTATTACATTATTTTTCTGGTGAACTGCTATAATTTTATAAAACGGGGAGACAGGGGATATTGTCCTCAACTTAAAGGAAAGTTGTCCAGCAGACAAGGAAAGTAGTAAGAGGAAATTTCTATTTTATTCTCTTTATTTTCATTTTTTTTTGTGGGAGAAATATACATTTTAATCTCGTTTTTTTTTAATATAACAAACACAAAATAAAACTCATTTATGTTTCATTCCATTCTAATGCAATTATCAAATACTACCTTAGTTCAATTTAAATTATTTTTCATTTTGAAAATTCATTAATTTTTTCTGATATTATTTTTCCCTCTTGTATTTTCTTCTTTTTTTATATTAAATATATTTAATGGGTTTCTTAATTCTTTTATACAGAACTTTCATAATTTGAAATAACTAAAACAAATCATGTTTTTTGTTTTATTTTAGATGAAATTATCTTAAAAATTGTGGATTTGCAAAGATAAAATGTATAAAGACTAAAGAGTTCGTAAAAAGAAAATACACAAAAGTATAATTATTCTTAATCTTATAAATAAGACACCATTACTTCAGTAGCTCATCGTCTTCTTGATTGCATTCTCCTATGGACCCATTAGATGTGTATGAATGACTCGTCCATGACAACACTGTGATGCTGTAAAGATACCTTTTTGAACCTAATATGTAAAAAAACTTCATGTTTTCTTCCCAGAAATCATTTCCTCATTGAAATGATCCATTCTTTATTGCATTTATTATGGTCCATTTCCTAACATTAAAAACAGCATTTAGCAACCTGTCATTTTCATAGTATCTATAATATTATATACCGTATTATGGTCAATGGATGTTGAATCACTAGCGCACACCTCCTCCAATTCATTTTTTTTCGACCCAATCGAATGCAATTAATCTACACTATGATCAAAGGGTTCACGAATACGTTTCTGATGGCCTAATTCAAAGTAATTAGCATGACTAACAATGGAACTTAGAATCGTGTACCAAAATATACATCAAATGTTAGTCAAAAACTAAACTAAAAGCTGTATATAATTTTTCTTGCCATATACTAATTTTTTCCCAATATATAAAACTCTTTTCACTCTTTTACTTGTCTCTTTTTTATAAAATCATTCTAATTGTTAGTTTATTAATTATATATTCTCTAAAGTATTTTTATTTAATTAACTGTTTTTTTAAACAAAAGATAATAAATAATTTAAATTATTAATAAATTTAATACTCTTAAGTAAATTAATTAATTTTTAAATAGTGTAATTTAATTAAAAAGGTTTTGTAAATAGAAATGGAGGTAATATTTATTTACTCCGAGTATAATATATTTGGTGCATATTAGATTACCCCCTTTGGTTTTGTAGCACAACCTCATCTCGCTCATACTTGCACAATAAAATACAGAACAACTAAATACCATTTCGTTGACCTAGTTTATTTTAAGTGCCCTCATTCTGCTTGTCACTAATGGTGCTTCCACTAGCACCCGTTTCTAAAAACTAGTGTTATATATAGTGCTTCAACGTGGAAGGAAACAATAAACATCCAAGAATGGGTTCAGAATCTAACATTAGACTTGGGAATTTGAGCTGCCTCGTCCTATTTAGCTTTATGCATTTCAGCAGCACAGTGTTGTCATGCACGGGTCATTCATACACATGCAATGGTTCCATAGCCGAATGCAATCAAGAAGAAAATGAGCTGCTGAGGGGATCAGAAATAAGCCGAAGGTTTCTGGAGGAGACTTACATCTCCAGAGGAGCTCTCTCGAGAGATAAAGCAGTATGTAATGGTGGCGCCCCTGGTGAAGCTTACAGCAAAAGTGAAGGGTGTCTTCCTCCCCCGTCAAACCCTCCAAACAGAGGCTGCTCAAAATATTATCGTTGTAGGTCTGACTCTTGACTGCAGCCACACACTGATCTTTTAAGGTTGTTGAATTCACACAATCTGTCAGTTGTAGTTCTGAGTTTTTTTTTTAACTGCAGACTCATACAAAGATCTTATATTTGTTGGATTCACATATAATCTTTCTGTTGTTGATCATATTTCATGGGAGCTTTGGAATTTAAAATTACAAGACAAATTTCCTAATTATTTCTCTCGTTTTAATCCATTCTTTGATTCCTTAATATTTGCTGAGGGGCTAGCTCCAGCAATGCGCTTCATCCAATCAAAATAAATACAACAGCAACAAAAGTCTTATCTCATTAGGCATCAAGATAAATACATATAAGAATATATATATATATAGGGAGCATATCAAGTGAGAAGTTTTTATTGTGAGAAGGTGAGAAGGTGGAAATATAACCCTTAGATTAATCAAGTAAGAGAAAATTTGGGATTTAATCAAGTGAGAGAAAATTAATCTAAGGGTTATATTTCCACCTTCTCACCTTCTCACAATAAAAACTTCTCACTTGATACGTATATATATATATATATATATTTTCAATTGCCTACTAGAAAATACAATTGACCAAGAAAAACCAAGCCCAGTATAAGCAGAGACGTATAGCATGAAATGAGGGACAAGATTCGCTCCTGACTATACAGTTTCTACAACCGTTAACAAAACTCGCCCGCGTGAATGATCTCTCGATTGGATATAAACTGGCAACATGGCCAACCCATCATCACCCTTCCAACAGCCCCCTTTTCCATGCTTGGGCAAGCAATCATGAGAGCAAACAAACCGGGGATAGTTTGAATGTTGAAGGAAGAAAATACCAAGACTACTTGTATGCAAGCTTCCATACTTCACGGACATTAGATGAACCGTCTGTGATTACAGCAACCAGGCTACTAGTCATGACACCTGCACAAATAAAGGGCAATTATGACATCATGAGACCAGAACATTGACTGGTAAAAGGAAAGAGAAATAAACTGGTATAGAATCTAGTAAGGAAGGATGAAAACATATTCTGCATAGTTCACATTGCATAAGGTGACCAAGCTTTTGATGGTCTATAGCTTGTTGTGGAGAACCAATATGTTAAAAGGATCAGTATGGTTATGTTATTACAGCAAGTTGTTAGCATATCAAGGATACTACTTTTTATGATGCAACTGCAAAGCACATAACATACAAAATCGGAATAATGATCCAGCATGAATATAATTGCATGTCAGTACTAGCTCACCATCCTTTTCTACCACAGAGAGAAATCGCCGAGTTCCACCACCTACTCCAAAATAATACTTCTTTGCTGCCATGTACAAAACCCCATCAGGTTGTCGCAAGCACTGTGTATAAAACACATCAATAGATAAGCAAAACAATAGTTTTTTTAATTAAAATATATACATTATACACTGATAATTGTACTCACATTTACAATGCAATGACTCAACATAGAAATATAATTTTGCTCTTTTGTTGATGAACAAAACAATACCTTCTTGATAAGATTATAGAGACTTTGGAGACTGTTGATTGAGTAAACTGTCTCTGCCATCAAAATGAAGTCATAACCATCACCATGATTATGATCTGCATCTGTACTAACATGAGGGAGCAGCAGTTTATCAATTCCACTCCAGTCACCGGCAAAAAAGCGAACTTCTGCCTTGTCACAAATTGTTGAGTTGGATGATAACGCTTGAGATTCTCCAGAAAGATTTGCATTTAAATTAGGAATGGTAAGGCAACGTAGGACCTCAGCATTAAAGTCTTGAAAATGTACAGCAGCTGCACCCTAAAGCAACCATAATATGCACATTATTATATTTTTCAAAGTTAAGGATGCTAAAAGCAAACTACCAAAGCAATTGAATCATAGTTTCACCTCAAGCAATGCAAAGATTCCAGGCAGGCCGTGACCACATCCTACCTGAAAATCAAACATTGAAACTGAGAATTAGACGGACAGCTTTTCTACTAGGATATATATATACATGCTTTACATTTATCTTCCTAGTCAGTTTCCTCTACAGTGAGTAAATAAGGGGGTATCTAGTTATATAAAACAGCCAGAAACTAAACAACCTGACAATCAGTCATTTATCATACAGACAAATACTGAATCACCTGAAAAAAGAAAAGCACACCTCTAAAACCCGCTTCCCGCTAAATGAGATAAGCCCATTTTTAATATCTGAACAAAGGACTTTAATTAGATCAAGTGAACCTTCCCACAGCTTCAGTCCACCTAGGCCAAAGGGTACCAAAGTTGCAAACGATTCAGTCATCAACAAAACGAAAACGAATGAATAAACAAATGCAAGGAACAAAATGGCACTACCTTCATATTTCCCGGGAACTAAATCGGAGTTGGACAAACCAAAGACTTGTTGTGTATTCACCCGCCCCTGAGAATCGCCCATGAAAGAATATAAACAATAAAACTATACTATAATCTCCATTCAATTATTCAAAGAATTCGAAGGCAGAGAAAGAAGCAATACCTTTAACAATGTAACTCCGTCCAAATTTACAGAGTCCACGTTGTGTTTGACGGATGAAGGAGCCTAATTTTGCAGGAAAAAAAAAAAAAGCAAAATTAAAAACGGCGGCGTATCAAATATTGCGAAAGGCGAACGAAGAATACCTCAGAAGCGATGACTTCAACGCACGGAGGAGGAAGTGTAGCAGGAACTTGTTGTGCGGCATCGTCGAAGATTCCGAAACCCGAAGCGGAGGAAGAGAATAACTGAAACGTCTCCGAACTCAGTTTCTGAGCATTGCCCTGCTTTAATGAGGAAACAAAATTTGAAACTATTGTTTTGAGGTGATAACAATCAAACTGAAGAAGAAAGAGTCATTCGTCGAGACCTCAGAGTTCGCCGCCGCCATTCTTCACTCTTCTTCCTTCTTTCGTGTAACGTTTTTTTTCTTCTTTGTTCTTTCTTATTCCTCTCAGTTTTTGAACAGTTTTTTTCTCTCTCTCTCTTAAGTTTGTCTTTGTTTTTTGGGCTTTGAGGTGTGTTCAAAGCCCATAAGTAAATTTTGGGTTGGACAAAACGACGTTGGGCCTACCCCGCGCCCTTAAATACTCCACATGTTTTTTATTATAAAAAAAAACTGATTTCACGTGTATTAAAAAAAAATTAGTTGTATACATTAAATCTCATTCAATCAAAAAATAATCCTTATTTTATAAAAAATTAGATTGAACCATATATTCTAACATATTATTTAGAATATATCACTAATGAACGTGAAATTTTTAATAATATGATACATAAGGGATATATTTTAAAACTAAAGCTTAAAAAAGAGAAAAACAAATTAATATTTTGAAAACTAAAAAATGACCGTAATTTTTAAAATTATATCTAAAAAAACACCTAGCTTAAATTATAATTTTTGGTGTAAAATTTTTTTAACTTATTGAAGCTAAAAAAGTAATTTATTCATCTTTTCTACTCTTGTTTACCGGAGCTAATGGATGGAGAGAGAAAAGAAAGTTAAAGATTACTTTGACTACGTGACATTGTTTGCGGAAAGGAAATTGGACTGTGTGCCTCTTTTAGAAAGAAAATAAAAGAGCAGTAATGGATTGGTGTCTTTATGTGATACTCGTGGAATGTGACCTTAATTGCAGGCGATAATACGGGAGTTGGGGTCTACTGGTTCAATGCCCCATCTATGACCGTTACTAGAGTGACGGTGTCAGCACAAGGTTATGCCATTCACATGCATCCTATGCCCATATGCTCATGTCTTTCAACACCAGCCTCTCATACTAAACAATGTCCTTCAGTAAATCCAAGGTAACTCACTGTCGGCAATAGTAATTCCAGAGAACATACCACACACAGAAGGGTAAAAATATTGCCACATACTTGTAATATTGTTGTTATGGTTGAGATAATGATGTTCTACTTATAAGTTATCACAAGCCAAGGTGAAAAAAGCTTTACTGTTATTTACTTGGTGGCAGAGCACTAAACCATATTGCTTTTTGTTGCCTGACTTTCATTTTAGAACTCACATAGAAATTTCATGTATCATTGCAACCAGATTTCCTTATTTGTAGACCAAGAAAGAAAGCATAACGAATAAATCAGAAAAGCCAGAATACCCCCAAAATAAACAAAAAAAAAAAGGTGTGACCCGGGATTCTCTTTAGGGAATTTGTTTAACTATGAAATATGAATGTTATTTTTTATGACTAATATCATGAAACGATATGTGCCTATAATATATGTCTTGTTTTAGGTGTAATTATCTGAAAATGTAAACCTATAATGGTCTTCATCTGCAAAACCAATGCTAGGATTACTCCCGCTCCTTATTGCTTCCCTCACCTCCTCTATCCTCTCAAGTATTCCTTTCACTGCTAAATCAAACGCATCTTCAAAGTAACCCAACTTATACCTAGGATCTGCATAAACAATATTTGGAACTATCTTTATAACCTCCTCTCTCATTGCAAACACCTCACCCTTCGGAATCCCCAGCAACACCTCTTCCAAACTCACATTCCATTGCTTTACATCCTTCACAGGTATATACACAGAGTAACTAGTCCTATTCTTGGGCAAATGCCACTTGTACTGCGAATAAGCAGTGCCAGGACTAAAGAAAACGGGAATACAACCAGCCAGCATGGAATCAAAAATGGATCTTCTGGTGTAGGAGTCACCCCAAGGCTGCAAACAGAACACAGAACTTTCAAACACCTTCATGACATTGGTGGGGTCGTCACACTTTTCCGCACCATGGCTGCAGTCAACGAATTTGCACAAACTCGAAGCTCTGCATTGGTCTATAATCTTACCCCTGATGGAGCCATCACGTTCAAACCTTGGAGCACCAGTGAAAGCAAACAAGTGAGGACGCTTCTGGTGCCTGATTTTCCTCTGCCACAATGAAACTTGTGTGTCCTTGGAGGGGTGGAAAGAAGTAGGGTAGGGTATTGCATAGTCGTTTCTCCAGGAACCAGCTTCAACTGCTAACATGGACATGTTCATTGATTCGGGTAAAAATCTGAACTTGGTACCCCAATCTGAGTCATTATCACTTTGTCTCCTGAAATCCCAAGCAATTCTCCCTGCAACAAGGAAATGGTCTCTCCCCCACATTCTCCCCCATTCGGGTCTTTCTGCAAGCCATTTAAGAAGATCTCGACCAGAGGAATCCCTCTCTGTGAGATTAGAATGATAAAGAAAGCGACTGACGTCAAGACCAGCGTAAAACGGCACAAAAATTGCAGATGCGAAGGAAGAATCGTTGGTCAAGCACTCATATTTTTTCATCCTGTTGTGAAAAATGACCTCCAACGTAAACTGGTTGGTGGCGTACCAACTCTGGTTTGAAAATTGAGGCCCAAAACCCAAGTTTTGAAGATAGGGACACATGTTGGGTGTGTCAGAGCCAATGGTGAGGACATGGCAGTTTTTAAGGTAATAATCGTTGAAGCGGGAAGGGAGTTTGTGAATGTAGACATAGCGGCCAATGCAGGAATCTGGATTAGGGTTTTGGGTGGATGGGTTGAGAGAGAATGAGAGCGCATGGTTGGGGCCATGAAAGGTTGCGAAGTCAAAGCATAGGAGGAAAGAGCAGAGGAGAAAGGAGAAGAGAAAGGCGAAGCAGAGGTAGTGATTGTCGTAGAAAGTTCTGGTTGGTTTTTCTTTTTCCATTTCAGATTTCAGGTTCTGAGAGTGATGATCATATTCAATATTCATGTACATTGCCATGCCATTCATATTCATGAAAGACACAGACGTAGTAAAATTTAAAGACTTGCTCTTGCTCTTGCTCTTGCCCCATCAATCACCCTACCAAACGTCCGTTACTTTGTCGGCCAAAATATGCTTTCAATGTTTAAAAGATTAATTTTATATTTTATTTTTTTACCAAAATTAATCTTTTTAACATTTATAATTTAAATAAAAAGTTAATGTTAGTCTTTTGTCACAACTGGTAGCTTAATTTTTTACATAGATAGATTGAGTTTACTATACACTATAAACTTTAGTTTATTGTAAAAAGAATTATAATAAGGACATTAGTATATAATTTTTTAACAAATTCAATAATTAATGGACTCACCGACAACATTTAGAGAAAAAAAATGTCAAAATAATTTTTTTTAATTAACACAATGATAAAAATACGTAAAATTTGAAGAATTTATACGTACAATTTCAAAAATTAAATAATAAAATTCACAAAATCGTGAATTAAATATAAGTGACAGAAAAACATATAGCTAAATAAAAACATATTAATAACAAAATCCATAATTATATTTTTTGCATAAATACTCGCTGCTAGAAATAATATTATTCAAATCAAGGCAGCAAAACTCTATCTTTTTATAGTTAAGACAAATCTATACATAAGTACTCAATCTTATCATGATTTAGAAGTGTACAAGAGACAATTTTTTGATTGGATCATTTAAACATGTAACCAACAGAGGTTGGAATATATAAGAAAGGATTGGGTCAACCCGCTATCTTCTATCTGATATAATATATTTTTATTAAAATTATATATAGTTACGTTAGAGCATCTGCAATGGGGTTGTTTATAAGCAACTCTCTGTGTCATATCACTGCTAAATTAGTTCTGACTCACTTTATGGATTGCTTAAATTTTAGCAGAGTTGCTTCTACAAGCAACTCTGCTAAAATTTAAGCTAAGCAACTCTGCTAAAATTTAAGCAACTCATAAAGTGGGTTAGAGCTGATGTGGCAGTTATGTGATACAGGGAGTTGCTTATAAGCAACCCCATTGTAGATGCTCTTATAGAATAAGAGATGTTTAAAATATATTTAAATGTGCATTTATTAATAGATATTGATAGAATTTATAATTATATTTAATATTTTGTTTGGTGAAAGAGGAGAAATCAAAGGGAATGGAAGAGAATGTATGATAATTAATTTGATAAGAAAAATAGCGAAATTTTTAGTTGTTTAGTATAGTAAAATTAGATTAAAAAATAGAGAAAAATTAGTATTTTATTACATTTAACCATTATTTAGTAGAATGAAAAAAAATATATTAATGTATAGAAGTTTTTTTTTCTTCTAAAATTCGTAAAATCTCTTATTTTTAAGGGGTATTTTTTTATGGGACTTAAATCTGTTTATTCTCCAATCCTTATAAATCACTGTCTCTAAACAATTTAATTTTTTTTAATTCTCTATAAATCATCTTTTTTTATTTTCTAATTCACTTTAAATCATTATCTCTAAACATACTCCAAAGCATCATTAATGAGCATATAGATTGATGCCTTTAATGGTTATCTTTTATAATAAAGTAAGTTACACTGGCTCTAATTCAAAACTTGTGGGATGGCATACAATTTTTTTAAAGGTTTACAATGGTTTTTTTTATAGGAGAACATAATTCAATGTTTTTCAAATAGTTAAAAGGACTAGTATAATACAAAAGAAGTATTAAAGTCATGCTTTTAAGCGATAAAGGGGAATTAGTGTAGGATAATAATGACAGAACGGGTTAAGCTAGACAAACTGTCTCAAACTTGTCGATTAAAATATATAAGATTTGGGCGCTACATTTTCAATTTCAATAAAATGTAATTCTTTTTAGCTCAATCTTATAAACTTTGTGTTATAGTCAGGTTTGAGTCAAATTAATCCAATTGATTTGAACTTTTCATTTTATTTTTAAATTTTAATGTGAGAAAATGAAACTAAAAAAAGTTTATAAGACTTAAAAATAGCTATTAATTCATTGTGTTAAGCTTTCATTTGTGGTTGTCAACAAAAATAATTCATTTGTTTAACATAGGTTTTGATATTTGATATTGAAAAATTATTCTATAAGTTCCTATAATTTTTCAAAATTTTAATTACATATCTTCGATTAAAAACACTTTACAAATATCCTTATAATTTAAAAATCTTATAATTAAATCCTTCACTCACAAATCTTGATAAAATTTTGTTAGCTTATGTTGACTGAATTGTTAATATTTTATTAATATGCAAATTATCCTTTTAATTTCATTTATTTTAAATACTTAAAATTAAGTCCCTAATTTTAATATGATAATTATATATAAAAAAAAACAGGATTCATTTCACATTAAGATTTAAACTATATCTCAGACTTTGAACTCTAAGATATTTTTTTTATTTGCATCTATTTATAAAGATTAATAAAAGCTAAAACTTTTATTTGGATAACCTAAATTTTTATTTGATATTTTTTAATTCATAAACATAGTTCACTTAATATTCAAAAAGACAATTAAAAATTAATCTACGTTCACAAGACTTACCTTTTATTGATCAAATATTATTTTAGTATTTTTATTTAATATTTTAATTTGTACAATACACAAAATAAATATTGATTTTATACAATTAAATTCAATAGAAAAATATTTTATAAAACATATGTAAATAAATATTAAAAAAAAATTTCACTTAAGATAATTATATTAATTTACATATAAAGATGATATAATATTCAAAATAATATATTTTAAGCTATGTAATACATGTGATAAATATTTATTTTATGTAGTTATAATTTATAATAAATAATTATTTTTGAATATTTAAGTTACACAATAATTAAAATTTATAATAAATAAATACTTTAAAATATATAAATTATATTTTAGATTTATAATAAATAATTTATGTTGTAATACAAAATTATAACATAATTTAGTTTGAAGTGATTTTAAAAATTGTGTAAAATTTAAATTACGCAGAGAAAATAATTCATTTTTTTCAAAAGAAATTCTTAAATTTTTTAACTATGATATACTATTTTTATTTATAAATTCAAATATTTAAAATAATTATTTATTATAAATCATAACTCTATAAAATAAATAGACTGAAATGCTAATTAATTTTTAATATTATATCATCTTTCCATATCAATCATTATAATTATCTTAAATGTTACTATTTTTGAATAGTTATTTACGTGTAGATAATATAGTCATAAAAATATTTTATACGTTGATTTAAATTAATAAGATAAAATATTAAATAATTTTAATTTTTTTAAAGATTTATAAATTTAATTTATGCATTAATAATTTTGAATTTAACAGTTGAATTAATAAAATTTAATGTAAAATATGAATTATTGAATTAAGTAAGTATAAGTAGATTTATTTTTGAAATAAATGAGAAAAAAATCAAAGATTTTACTTAATCGTTTATATTGAAAATTCTATTTGTTTATTTCGTACTTTTCACTCAATGATAAAATAGATAAGATTTTACAGGATCAAATTTTGTAAGAGTTAAAATATGATGGAAGAAATTAAAAAAAAAAAAAAAGTAAATAAAAATGCATAGAATAGGATATTTAAAAGAAAGTGAGCTTTAAATGCATATTTATTATTAGATATTAAAGAAAGGACAATGAATTTTAATGATATCATTA